AAGTAAATTAGATCAGGCATGAAGTGCTTGATACTGTGCTACTGTGGCTGTGCATGGCTCTGTGAATAGGACTGGTTTATACACATCTGGTTGGAGGGCAGGCAGAGAAACTCAAGTCTACCTGCAACTTATCTGAGTAGATTTTTCATTGGAGAACAAAGACTTCTCTTTCAGTGCTTAATTTAGCCTCATGAGTATAGTGTCAGTGGTACTTCCTCAGAATCTCCTTCTCAGTTGAGTTTTTTCACAGCCTTTGTCTTCAAGGGACAACCTGAGGCAGTGAAGAGACTTCAATCTTTGCCGAAACTGCCAATATGATGATAACTAGTTATCTTTCTAGTTGCATGTCCTTTAGCAGGGATTTAAAAGTGTTTTGTGTCTACTAGACCACAATTACAGATGTCAAAAAGCTTTCTTCATCAAGTGCTGAAATCACATCCCTGGAAGTTTCTTGTAAATCTACCAAAAAATGTAAATTACTGCTATCTTATTTAATCTTAAATCTAATTTCTGCCTGTTTGACTTTTTCCTTAATTTGCTTGCTTTATTCATCTTCGTGTATCTCTGTAGTAGCTTTGAGTCTCTAGAGAATCTTCTATTGGATATAGGGGCTGATGGGGATGGAGCATTGTATTGCTGAAGATGAAGATTTAGATCTTTTGTTCTCTTCTGGACATGGATCAGAGTATGCAGCCTTGAATGAAAGGACAGTCCAAGTCAGAGAAACAGTCAGGGACTATAGGAATCTATTATCTCTGGGCATCTTGTTTGATACTTGGGAAGTCTGTTAAGGGTTGTCTGCATGGGTGAATGCAGGCAAACTGCACTCTGAGCTAATTGGGTGCAAGATTAATCTGGTCTCTTAGTGCTGTGGCTGAGCTGTGCTTACCCTGCCCAGCTTAACCTGCTGCAGCAAGACTGGTGTCCTGAAACTGGCTTGTGGAGTGTGGAATTGCTGGGCTGCACCTGTGTGCACAGATAGGCCCAAAGACTCCCCGTGACAGTTTTTCCGTATGTAAAAAGGGGACACTAGAGCTTATGCCTGTCCCAAAAATGCTTGTGACAATCCATTGAGGAGTCACTAGGTGAGGAGTTCTCACAAACACTCTGAAAATACAGAAGGGCATTTGTTATTAGGTTAATTCCCAAAAAATCTCATTAGTAGTGTTCTCTCCCCCTGCTAGTAGCTTCTAGACAACTTTTTTCCAGCCCCAGGTTTCCAGCATTGGAGGATGTTTTATTTTTATTTTTTCTTTAAAACAAAGTGAAGTAAAACTAAACATTTTTCTTGAATCATACAGGCTAAAAGAACCTTTCTAAAGAGAAGGTTCTCTACCTTTTTTCTTCTTTTGTTCCTCTTACAAGAAGTGATTTAATGAAGTAAGAACTTCAGCAAATAGCCCTTGTGGAGTAGCCTGGTGTTGGCTTCGTTTGAAAACCTTGACTGTAGATGGAGAGACCAGTGGGTGTTTGAACCGCTGTAGCATGAACATTGCTCACAGAAGGATGTGGAGGCTGATGTCTAGAATTCAAAAGCTTTTCAGGAAGTTGCTGAATGCTCTAAGCCAAAACACTTCAGATTTATTAAAAGCCTGAGGCTTACGAGTGGATCTGGAGAAAGAGTAGGGTTAAGACTTTGCAAGGTCGCTGCTGCTGGAAGGGGTGCCCCCCTCTCCCAGCTGCCTGTTCTCTCTGCTCACTTTGTGCCAGCTCTTGTGCTTGACTGACTCTTGGAGTGAGGTGAGTGGTTTGGGAGAGCTGCAGAGCTGGTGCAGATGGAGGGAGTGAAACTGGAGGGGTGAGCGGGAGTGTGTCTTTGGCAGCAGTTGAGTATTTGGTTGGCTAGATGTTCTCGTGAAGCTTCACCCCTAAGAAAAAGCTCTTTGTTCCCTGCCTAATGTCCCTCTCCATGGAAATCTGTTCCTGGCCTCTGTAAGCATGCCACTGCTGCATTCTGGCAGTCCCTCTTCTCAAAGCCAATTCTATCTCCACTGAGGTTATTATCTGGTAAGAGCCATAAATGAACTCTTTAATTTGGTGACTTAGATTCAGTGACAAAATCAACTAATTTATTCTGTAAAATACATAGTACTTGCAGTATGACATGTAAATGTGGTTGTTGAAATCTTAACCTTTGCATTTCTGATTATTTTTTTTTTGTTCTCCCCTCCCCACCATGTACAACCATAGTACTTTAGTAACAAACTGCATAAAATGTATGACTCGGATAAATTCAAATGCATATTTCTTGGACATAAAACTACCATTCAGTAAAATGCCAAGTACTACTTGTCTCAGGTAACTAACATCTTGTAAATCCAATATTTGTGCTCCTGAACACATGAAGAAATAACTGATATGAGCATTTGGGCACATTTTCTGTGGAATGCAAATCTGTAGAACTAGTTGTCCTATAGATTTTTTTTTTTCACCCTTATTTCTTTTCTTAAAGTGGTAATGATAAATATTTTCATAATCTAATGTATTTGTCTAGAGACTGCATTGCCATAGTACATGTGTGCCCTTGGTATATGTGAATGACTTAAATATATCTGTGGCAGTGTTGTATATTGCCTGGCTAATTTGTAGGGGGGGAAAAAGAGATCATCTTGCTGCTTTTAACAGAAATTCAATAGAATGGAAGAGTAAGATCTAATATTAAGGCCTTTTTTCCTTAAGAACATATTCTGCGGTAAATGTACCAGGACATTATGGAGAATTACTGTACTTAGAGCTATTCTGCATGTGTCTTAAACAAATGAACTTTTTTTTTTTTGTCCTATTTGAAACTTCTTGTTTATTTACTTATTAAGCAAAGCAGGGCTTTGGACTCTTAGGCTATGGTGGCTGTAACAATACATTGCTTAGTGTAGAGTGATTGTGTGAATGGACAAGGTTTAATCTTCCAAATACAGGAAATTTTAACAGTTACAGTGCTGACTGAATCTTAGAAGAATTTCAGGGATATCTTTGGTGCCATTCAAGCTGAGGTTAGCTATTGCCCTTCTCACTCATGATCCCATAACTGACCTTTGGACAATCAGGATTTGCTTGCATGCTTTCCTAATGTTAAATTTGCATGTCATGTTTTAAGCTGTATTTCAAATAAAGAGGTGGTAGCATCACATGCACAGCAAGGGCTCTGCAGTCTGCAAAACATAATTTGGGCATCTCTTCTGGTACACTTGTACCATGTATGTGCTAAGCCTGGGAGTGGAGGCAATCTCGCCTAGCTTTCCAGCAGGACTGACATTAACGCTGTGGTAAGGGTGAGGGTAGGTGCATAGCCTTCAGTTGTGTGCCCCAAGGCTGTTTAGGGTACTCATTCCTTGCTAGCACTGTGCTAGTTGGAGGGAGAAGAGGGTAAAATCTGTTTTGTGGGGAAGGGGTTGCTGGAAGCAAAGTGAATTAAGAGGGCTGTAAAAAACTGATAAAGATAGGACTGTCTATTTTTATATTCTGCCACATAACATGGGTTTAAATGAATTTCCCTGTAATTTGTCTTCAAATACCGACATTTAACTCTTAGACTGTATAAATGAACTGGCTTTTTCTAGAGTAAAATTCATGCCCTGCGTCCAGGCTAATATGTTCACCTACTATAAACATTACTGCCTATGGTTACAACCGGAATAAAAAATTCCTTTTATATACATCATAGCTGGCAGAGACTCCTGAGACCACCACAAATCACTTCAGCCTTTTGGTGCTCTCTGACGAAGTGAACTGAAATGTAAAACAGCTCAGGCTTCAGGCAGGCTGGCTCTGGAAAGCAATTAGTTTGTTTAGACCATTGTTTGTACCTTCCTGTATTTCTAGGTGCTGAGCAAAGGTGTTCTAGGAGCATTCCTGATTGATTTAAACATTGGTTTGTAATAGCCTTCTATTCCTTCCTAAAATGTTTTGCTTATTCTCTGTGTGGCCTTTTATTTAAAGGAAAGAAAAACAAACAAAAAAAGAACCCTGGCAAGCCCCCCCCCTCCCCCAAAAGAACAAGAAGAAGAAGAAAAAGGAAAAAAAAAACAAAAACCCTCAGGGTCATAACAGGGAATAACAAAGCAGCGAGTTATTTATGCAGCCATGATTGGCAAAAATGATTGCAACATGAATTTGCCCAGAAGCAATGATTAGATCATAAAAATGTTAAGGAAATCTGTAACTCAACACCATTTTATAGATTGAAGAAGTTTTTGTTCCCTACCTTAATTGCAGTGACTTGTTATTAAAGTATTTATTCAGAGTAATCTCTTTGGACAGCGAGCCCTTATCCCATCTGCATGCATAATTAAAAGTGAGGGGGGAGAGAGAGGAGCATAAATGGTTTACCATGCTACATGAGCAAGGGAGGGAATTACACAATGACAGGTGAAGAGCAGATTTATCTCCTATTGGAATTTCAATGCTGCAAGCAAGGCAGGACACTGTTGCTTGCTAATATCCTTGCAAACACCACAGTTGCTGCTTCTCCAGATTACTGTCCAAAAATCATTGCTGGTCTCTAAAAGGCCTGTAGCACTGCATCTGTGGCTCTGGGTTTTGGAGCCATTGGTGCTCAAGCAAAGAGATTGAATTTGGGTATGTGGGCTTGTAAATCCATGTCTGTGCTTAAAAATGGACTATTTACTTACTTGGCTGGGTTTTTATTTATAAATAAACATTGGTAGTGTTTGGCTTTGAATACAAATCAGAGGGTTGTAATTTGTTCCAACTGAAACAATGTCATCACCTGCCTCCTGCTGCTGTCCCATTTTCCAATAATAAAAGAATTTGGTGCAATTCTTCTTTTTCCACTCTCTGACTAAAAAGAAGGTTGCACTTGAACATTCATCTCTAAGCAGATTTATCATCATTAGGCAGTACTCAAACACACAGTATCTGTTTTTAAATTGAACTGTTATGGATCTAAATCAGATTTACACAGAGTAAGTTGGTACATATTTGACTCTAACTATTCGCTAAAGAGTATTTTTCCCTTAACTTCTGATGTCTCACCTCTGCAGCAGCAGTACAGAGAATTCCAGGATCGTTTGAGCTTTCAACACAAGTGCCTACTTGAGAGGCTGGAAAAATCATCACACTCCATTTCTGAATTGACTGGTGCCAAAGAAAAGGAACAGAAGGTAAGCTATTTTTTCCTCATCTTCTTTATAATGACATCTTCGAAACATCTTTTCTCTTTTACTAGAACTTTCAGTGCATTGTCTTGCATTATACAGTGTCAAATACTGTTTTGTGATTGGCCTTCGAAGAGTCCTTCCCTTAATACATGGATTGCAGGAAAATAAAAAAACCCAAGTTTTGGGTAAATAAAATGGCTGAAGTTAATTGACCATGTTGTAATGGAGTAGGAAACGTAGGAACCCATGCCTTTGCTAAGGAAAAACTTAAGATGCGCTTCAGTTTTCTGTCCTCTTTCTTAAACAGTAAAATAATTGCAGTCACTATAGATAAAGCCTTTCAAATTTTCACTGTGGCTTTTAACAATTGAAAAGGACATTACAGATGATGTATTTGGTCAATAAAAGCTTTGTCAAGTCTGTAAGGCAGCCCATCTGATTTGAGCTGTTTATAGAAGACCTATAATTACATATGCAGTTTAAAACCAGAAAATGTTGACTAGAGATACATGTTAAATTAAGTGGTAAAATGTTTCTCAAATGTATATGCCCAAAGCCTTGAAAAAAAAATGGTTGCTTGAGATTTTTTTTCTGATAGCTAGGTACTTGATTTGCATCCCTGCTGATAGCAGATTGCACCCTGGAAATGAAGGCTACTTATGCAAGTGCTCTACCTGATGTTCTTACCTGCTATTCTCTTTCAGTATCTTTCACCTGCAGATCTCCAGAGTCTATCCTACCTAAGGCTATTCCTTTTTTTTTATAGGTTTGGCCCTTGATCCTTTCTTTTGCTGAGTGAGTCTTAAAGGCTTAGAACAGGGCTAGAAGTAAAGTCATCAGCACAGAGTATCCAGAAGGTGGCCTGATTCTGGCTTCTCACTGGTTCCTTACTTAACAAAATTACACAGACAGATCATACTTCTCAGGAGCCTTGTGAAGGAAGAAGTCATTTTTAATTCTGTTCAGGAAGCAGCTAGCAATACTTCTCTGACTTCATCGGCATCAGGAATCATTTTTTATCCTGCTGATGTGTTTTTCTGTAAAATATGTTGTTGGACATTGAGCTGTTTTGTCAGGCTTTTAGCCTTTATAAACATTTCATTTCCATTCTTTTGTATTTTTATCTGCCATCCATTTTGTGGTGCTGTTGAGTTCAAAACAAGAACCTTTTTCTCTCAGAATGGATGATGCTTGTGTTCTTGCCTGTGATATGCAATTTGCTGGGGATCTCCATGGAAAACAGTCCAGAGGAGCCCATGTACTCCAACAGCATCATGGCAGCTGTGTTTGGGATGATGCTAATACTTCTCTTGGGGTTTACCATGCTTAATCTTTTACCTTTAGCCTTTCAACTTTAAAGATATATATATATATATCTTGTACTAGGTTAGCACCTACTATAAAGGTATCCATTCTAATCACATCTACAGCGTAGAAGTATAGAAGCAGATAATAGGAAGCCTTCAGCCCATTAACTGTCAAATCAGCATCTTATGGTACAGCAATCCATGTTTGTCTCTTGTTCTTCTGTCTCCCTCATCATTCTATCAGTGTATACACAGAGACTTATCTGAACTTGTTTTCTGATTTCATGTGCAAGGTTCCATCAATCAAAATTATCTGCAATTCCATTATTTCTTTTCTCTATACTTACAGGTACTTTTGTGCACAAATGCAAATTCAGATATTATATTGAGGTTTGCCTTGACATATTGTTTATGGTTACTTAGTCTACAGCTCCAGCTTAGCAGGTCTGAAATTGCCCAGGCCCTCTTGCCCTGTGCAAAGCTTTGTAGGCATAGATAAAAACCTGTTCAAAGCATGTTTCAACTGGTTTCTCTTACAGCTTGAAAAAATATTTCTAATGTTTCTAGTCTTCCTCTTCAATTTTCTCTATGTAGTCCTGGTAGGCATAGAGCTGTTTATATCTTGAATACAGTTGGCTTTATAAATTGCTACCTATTTTTCCAAACAAGCACTCCATGCTATGTTTTTCCTCACAGCTCAGAAATTTGTGGAGATATTTTCAGGACTGCCTCATTGCATCTGTTCTTTCCCTAACACAAGCCTTTATGTGATAGCTATCAAAACTGAAGAAAAGTCACTAGGCTGCTTCTTGTTGAACTCTTGCGTTATTTTCTTAATACCTGAACTGTGATCTCTTAGGGTTGTGATCAATCTCTTTTTGTTTTATTTGAGTGGTTCAGGCAAACCTAGGACTTGCATTCTGGTGTCTGCCTCGATGGGGAATGCCACAGTGCAATGAAGCAGGGAGGGTTTTTTGGGAGGAGAACAGACCATTCCTGCTCTGAGGGCTGTCCACTCTGGTCCATAATCTGGATTTTGAAAAAAAACACCTTGCTCAAATATTAGACTAAAAGAAGTCTTTCTGAGTTTTGTTTGAATCCTGATCTGTTGGGAATCTTTTCCCTATTGTTTATTTTTTGCTAGGCTAAGGAAATCCTAGGTATCTCTGGCTTTAAATCAATAGATTCTAGCTTGCTACCTAGTTTTCACATCTTTGAACTGTCTAGGAGAGGTAATCAGTGTTTCCTATTTCAGGTGACTGCTGATGTTACCAGGGCATCTGTGCTTCACCATAAGATGTCATTCTGATTTTCCTGTGTCTTGCAGAAACATGGGACTGCACAGATACACTGTACTGAAGCACTTTTTTGTTCTGCCTGTTATGAGCTGTTCTTGTTTCTGTTCATTTTCCCCTCTTTTCCATACTTGTTTGTTTTGATTAATTTCTAATGCTGTGCCTATCTACTAACATCACCTGCTTTTCACCTGTCTGGCTCCCTCATTCTTACTGTACAATAATGCTGACCATGAGCTGTCACTTTTACCTGGGTTTAGATAGGTATTTGAAAGCATCTCCTTTCAGCGTTTAAAGGCTGGGCTTTGTGTTAGAATGAGACAATTAACAGGCCAAGAGAACTGCAGTGGCATTGTTGCAAAAAGAGGTGGAGTTGTATGAGAAGCAGACTACTGCAGTAGCTGTGTGCATGTGGATGAAATGCAGCCCTGGTTTGCAGCTGTGTTGAACTAATGTAGATGCTTCTGTGTTAACTTTTATTTTTGTCTGTTTTAGCATCACCTAACAGTAGCGATAATTCGGAACCCACGTTTTCCTCTTACCTAATATTGCTTCTTTATAATGAAAGTCAGCCTTCAAAATTTGAAGAGGCATTCTGGTGGTAGTGAAATAAAATTGCTGGGAAGATGGTGGTGAGATGATTTAAGACAGAACTCTCATGGAGTCAATAATCAGTAACTGGAACATGGAGCTTCCTTTTTTTGTGAGATAAAGTTAATTCCATTTGAAAAGATACTTAAGGTGACATGAATTGAATTATTCAAACTGGCCTTCTCAGCATTAACTCTAGGTTAATATCTCATGATGCCTCTGGTTTCATTACAGGAGTTTTAAGTACATAACTTTTTATAATAAATTCAATACCTAGAAGCCGAATTGAAATTGGTTTACCTTCTACCAACCCATAAAAAGAAGCATTAATTGTAAAGCGAATATTAAAGTGGTCACTAAAGTTGACTCAGACAGATTCAAAGAGATAGCTCTTGTGTAAAGGAAGTGAAGAGCTCTACTGAACAATAGGCTTCTGCCCTGATGTTAATAGAAATTACCATCTGTATTAAAATGCAGTTAAACTTCCTCTACCTAAAAATGGCTTTTGGTTGTTCTTTCTGCAGGTCTCAAATGTTCAGTCTTTGCCATTTTCAGAAGCTTTACAGAGTTGTAAAGAAAATTGCCCTTGTTCTAGGTAATCAGGTCTGACCTAGTTGGTCGCCTCTTCATTGTCATATCAGACAGCGGCAAGATTCCAGTTTATTTTGGCCCCAGTATAGGGTAGGTCTTGAGTCACAAAAGTTGGACAGGTGGCTGAGTTTCTGCAAGACTGGGATTCTTGAACTACTTTGCCTAAAAGAATGATAATACCTGTAGTCTCAGCGTTGCCTTGTTTAATGTTAATCTTTGAATTTACAAGTACAGCTGGCAGGTTTTGTTTCTTGTGGAAGACTACCAACACATCTGCTAATTCCTTTGATTTACATAGATTCTCCTTGTGTATGTGTTTTAAGCTTCCATTCTTCCCCCTGTGTAGAAATGACACAGATATGGGGTGGGATTGTAGACAAAGGATTATCAAGAATTTATTTTCAATAGGATAGCTGCTCTCCCTTTTCTTGTGTATAACGTCATCTGCCTCCTGTTTGGTGTTTATATTTCGGTAATGCCAGAGGCCCTCTTCAGGAGCGAGGTACTGCTGCATACTAAGAACTGTGCAAGCATACTGAAAGGCAGGTCTGCTTTGGGAAGACTGTAAAATCTGAAGAAGAGTAACTTTTGGGGGAGGCTAATTTTTTTTTTTTTACTTTGTTACTATTTCTTTTGACTCACTTGTTCATTTTAAAAATTGTTGACACAGTTGTGGTGTCATTTCATGGTAAAGTCCAAAGGAAGACTTTACCTGCAAGGACTAGAAAGCCTTGCTTTCTTTTCATGTCAGTGACTAAAATTCTTGGCCATATCATTGTCATTTTTTGCCTTAATAAGGGTGATTACATACTAAAGCTTCAAACATTGGTTATTTGATTTTTTTATTTTTTTTTTCCTCTGAAAAGGACAGCAAAACGAGTCAATCTTCAGAAGCCTTTCCTTTCTGATTGTCCTGAAACTTTTGCATTCTTCTTTTTTTCAACATAGGTCACCTTTAAACAGATTCTTAGCTTGCTTAAAGGAAAAAAAAAATTCTACTTATGCAAAGGGTTGTGAATGCTATAAATTAAACCTGTGTGATAGAATTGACTTTGTCTGTTTACCCAGCTGTATGGGAACAATGGATGAGCCCATCTGAAAGATACTTGAGAACTGGGATAATAAATTAAGACCTAATTTGACTGGGCACCCAAGGGTATTGGAATAATTTTACAAGGCCAGACAGAGCCAGTTTTAGTGTGAGTAAATATAGGGAATA